CTTGAGTCTTGGTAGCCCGAGTGCCATCCTCCATTTATTATAACCGCTGGTGATTTAGAACGGGCGAAAATCAATGCGCGCGGATGTCATCCATAAAATCACATCAGTGTGGCCTAAGATATCCGTTTATTTTGTCTGTTTTTGTAGTTAATAATGGCACCAGGATAGGTATAAGATATATAATATCCATATATAATAGAAATGCCTTACTTGCTTCCTGGCACATCTAGACTAATTTCCAAAGACGTGTATATATACCTGGCAGCCCTTTTACATAAGAGATATACATGTACGTGCCTTGATTTCAAAAGTAAATTTCCCGTGGGTGAAAATGAAATAGCGTTTTGGAACCAGTGATGAGATGTATATATTGATTAAGGACATTTCTAATCATAACTTGTTGTTTTCCATGTGCAATAAAAAAAATAACTTGGCCTTGTCTAGGCAGTGCAATTAATTTCAAGAATGTATATGTAACTATGGTAAGAGTTCTTGACTTAGAACCTACAGGTTTTGGGTTCGAATCCCTGGCAACTGCTGGCTCGAAAGTTGTTCCGTTCTGGAGGAAAGGCACTTTACACCTCACTCTTTGAAATGCGTACCTGGCTTCGGTTAGGGACTAATTTGCATGTACGTGTGTTACGTATAATGTATAATCTTATCGGTGTACATACCAATTCCACCGCAATCGTCACAATATATATGGGCTGTCCGGGCAACCTCCATGGAGGAACTCTGCAAAGTTCTCCGTGGAGGTTACTCGTTCGAGCCCTACTCGGAAGTTCAAGGTAAAAATTGACGAAAAGGTTGCGAAGGTCCAGGTTTGAGTTCACATTTCTCATAGTCTGCCGCAAAATGACATTAAGGCCACACCAATTTAATTTGTTGGTTCTCGGATTCGCCTCTTCATTTTTTTCTGATTTGGAAAAAAAAATTCTGGTTCTGAATCATCTAAAAATGCTCATATTTTGCTCCCAACAGTTGAGGAAAGTCCTTTTCTTCCTAGTTGTTAGTTTTCAATCTTTTAATGCAGTGGTTTGGTTAAAACTTCAAAATTCAGTGTTTAAATTTTATCCCAGCCTTTTGTGTTGACTTCATGGCTCCAATCGAAGCATTTGGGGCTATAATAGGATGCCTAGGTCTGTTTTTATTTTTTTTTATTTTTTTACGCCCTGTCGCTTCATATTTTTTCCGAAAAAATCCGAGAACCAACAAATTAAATTGGTGTGGCCTAACTACATAATAAAATGGATTTAAACTGACAGGTAATAAGTGGTGTTTTGGGGGATGTATACACATACTCTGAAAAGCCGCTGTGCGATGTACATACTAGGTTGTTTGTATTGACAATCTCTCTCAGAGTATGGCGAGTCTACACTGCTCCTACAGCTCGCAGAAGAATCCTACGTATCCACACAACTCAACAGAGTACATCATGGTAAAAATTAAAGGTGTCCAGTTTTAGGGCTTGAAAATCAGACCAAACTAAATAGTCTATCGTTAATTATTGCCATTTGCTTGTAGGCAGACGTCCATGTACCTTTGTGTAGGTTATCATCACATAATATTTATTCAAGGATGGTTATATATAGAAAGTCACTGATACTTGACTCTATTATGATATCTAGACTTGTGCATGTACTGAAGCATGATATTTTGTACTCGTACTATGCATAGCGTCACACGCATAAACTTTGCATCATATTTACATATTTAAGCACAATTTCTATCAGGTACATGCACATGTAATTTCTAAACACAACGTTTTCACTCTTACACTCAAAATGTAGGAATCTTTTTTTTTTGGCCAGCCTTGTTTTGTTTTCGCCCTATCACATTAGATTTGGAGTCTGCGGAGGATGTGTTCCATAAAATTTACTTGCTGTGGCCTAATTACAAATTTACTGCTTAGAAATGGGGAAATGTGACAGTTTAAAGCTGATGTTGGTTAATTATAGATACTATATATATTTAGGATGAGTCAGCTTCATCAGGTTCAAGACCTGAACCTGATTATAATTCATATAGTAACAATTCTAAATTATATATCAAATTTTGGAAAGCAAGAAATGTCAAATTGTTTAATAATAGTAGAAATTAAACCTTTAATTGCCAGACAAGCTGATGTATGAGTAAAAATGCCTCTAATATATTTGTAAGTAAAAAAAAAAGAATTGGTTCAGGTTTTTAGAGAACAACAGAAGAACAGCTGCCAAAATGTCCATAAGGCCACACCAATTTAATTTGTTGTTTCTCAGATTTTTTTCAGAAAAATTATAGGGCGACAGCGAAAAAAAAAAAAACAGGCCAAAGCACCACATGATAGCCGGAAATGTTACAATATGAGCCATGAACTGAACATACCAGACTGGTTTATAATTAAAACAATAGATTTTGAAATTCTAATGTACTAAAATTGAACTGTTACATTGAAAAACTTTAACAACTAGGAAGAAAAGGACTTTCTTCAACCATTGGTGCCAAAATATGTCTTTCATTGAGCAGTTGATTGAACCTCAAATCAGAAAAAAAATGGACAGGATGAATCCGATAAACAACAAATTAAATGGGTGTGGCCTAAAGGAAAAAAAAATTGTGTTCCTTAGAAAACTATGTTGAACACTTGTACAATCATGACTGATCTTCTGTTACACAAAGTACGCTGCCAGCTGGTCCATCTTGTTCTTGGGTTTCCCCCTCCCCCTCCCTCTGCCCCTCCCCCTGCCCCGCCCACGCCCCGCCCCCCCTCCACGTTTGAACTTGGGGTGTCGTGTGGCGGCGTAGTGCCTCTCGATGAGCGGGGTGAGGAGGGGGTCACAGAAGATACAGCCAGAGTGCTGCGTCTCTCCTCCTTCTAACGGAGACTTGGCCTGGATGGGGAAGAACACATGACATTGTATATTGCTACATATTGGTGAAGACTAGAAATTAACCCTTGTCCTGCTGTGCGCAACATATGTCGCTTGGCACATACAGTATACCATCTATATAGCACCCTGTACATTAGGTACAATTTGGGGGTATTTCTCGTGCAACGCTTCACACCGCTGCAGCGAAACGCAACGAATGCGGAAGTAACTATGCCACTGCAGGGCAAAAAATTTGGGGGTCTATGATCTAATTATGACATGAAATTATTGAAAAATATTGTGCCAGGAATGCCAGCAGGACAATATGTAAAGCAGGGCTCTAACCAGCACCAGTTTTCCCATCAATTACCAGACATTTGCGGCATATGATGGAAATTGTGTTTTAAAACCAATATGTCAACCTTGACGAACAACATTAACAAAAATCTTAGGAAAAATTTTAAAATATCCTAAGGACCACCGACAACTGCTCACAACACCGTACTTTCCTTTTTAAAATGCGGGAAATTGCGTATTTGTAGGCTTGATATGGTTCTCCCCTCCCCAAATCTGATGATGAACCTGGGCTGCTGTAAAAAAATTTCAAGCCGGCTATAGCCCTGACGTAAAGGTAATTAAAAGCAGCCATGGTCAATTAAAGTAAAGCATAATGCCTTTTTAAAATTACTTCAAGTAGCTAAGACATTTACTAGTAAGTAGTAATGTACAATATATGGCTTCGCTGTACCTTAGGTTTTATAACCAAGCACACCGGGTCATCCCTGAGTTGGGTTCTTTTACATGTTTGTGCACTTCAGGATTTTACTTCTTGCATGCATGATCATAGTCCAATAATTTTTATTATTAAGTCCAATGGTTACACAAATGCAATGTTGGTTGCTTAACAGTCACTTATTAATAAATAATTTATTATTAATCAATTAATTTCAGTCAATTTTAATGACTATATTCAGTATATTGTATTACCTTATTGAAGTCCACATCAATGATAGAAGCTCCACACTCTTCACAGTCTTCTGAGGCCGACACACTCACTTTGTGAGCATTCTCAAACACATTGATTACAACATTACACCTGAAATTTAAAATACACCACATAAATGTACAAGGTATATTTAAGCCAA